AAATCAAGTTTTATCTGAAGCCCTTTCTGTTTTGTTATTCTAAGATTCCTACTGAATACCTAGCTACTGGCCACGGTTTCTTCGAACAAAAAGAATATCATTGCTGAAGCATTTTTTTAAAATTGTAAATGCATGCACAAAGAACTACCTAGGCTTTCCAAGCAGCTACACAAACTGGCTCAAGTAACAGTATTATTTATTGTGGCCTAAGCCCTTCCCCAACATCTTTAAACACAACGAGAATGGCTACAAGGTGGTGGCGGAGCCCAGAATGCGAGTCCAGGCCAGCAGGGCTCCGAGCATCTCACAGGATGGCAAGCAGGAATCCACCGTGTGATCCCCCCTCTTCCTGTGCATTTTCTCTAAATGCACGGTGTCCTCCCTTTACTGCCCAGGTTTTTAAACTACATAAAACAATTCCTTAAAAAAAAATCTAGCAATGATTAATTGAGACCTCAAATAACACTGTACAGGGGCTTTGTTAGAGACAGGCAACCAGTCTCAACAGCTCTCCTCCCAGTGCAGGCTGGGTGGGCGGCGGGCACCGGGTTCAGGAGCTGCTCTTGTTGCAGACGGTGCTCTGGCTGATCCCATCTTCCATGTACTGGCTGCCCGTGTCGCTCCTGCTGAGGACGGTGGAGGTGATGCGGGAGGGCCGCCTCTCCGGGTTCTTCTCCTGAGAGAAGCAGCAGATCATCTTCTTCATGGTGCTGTACATGTCCTCGTCCTTGTAGGAGTAGATGACAGGGTTCATGAGGGAGTTGAGCAAGGCCAGCAGCAGGAACCACCTTTTCACGTGCTGCAGGTCGCACTGCTTGCAGTTCAGGCCGTCCAGCAGCAGCACCACCAGGCCCGGGGTCCAGCACACCACGAAGGCCCCTGGAGGGAGAGAGAAGCAAGCGACAGGCGCTCAGACCTCGGGCTGCTTCTGTAGGGTCTTCGGGCCCAGCCTCCTGTCAGTGGCATCAAGGGACCTTAGGAATTTGTTTTGACAACTGCCAAGCAAATGCCCACCTTTCACCTGAGCGTCAGACTGGGCTTGTGAGAGGCGAAGAGCTGAGGACCCTCTGACTATTACACGTTCTATTGCACCTTCTTACCTGATTATTCAGGTCTGGTCATTAGGGCTTACACCTGCCTCCTGCTAACTCGGCGCTACACACACCTTATCTGTTAGTTCTTAGGCAGCGGTTCTCAACCTGTGGGTCGTGAACCCTTTGGCGGTCGAACGACTCTTTCACAGGGGTCGCCTAAGACCATCCTGCATATCAGATATTTACATTACGATTCATAACAGTAGCAACATTACAGTTATGAAGTAGCAACGAAAATAATTTTATGGTTGGGTCACAACATGAGGAACTGTATTTAAAGGGCCAGAAGGTTGAGAACCACTGTGAGCCTCACGAGGAGGCCACTGCAGTCATTATCCACGTTGTGCCAATGAGAAACCGGAGGCCCGGATCCAAGGGCATCTTCAGGGAGGCCTCAGACACTTACCCAAACACTCTGCTGTTCTCTAAACCAGAATTCCTAAACGTTTTCCTGAAAAATAAGACACAGTGCATCTATGGCTGTCTCCTAAAAATTTTATTCTTTATGAATCCATGTTGGTGCTTAGTAAGCACTAACATATTCAGAGGCCATCTGCTTAAAATCTGTTTTAGACTAAGATTTTTTTTGAGTCAGAAATAAATTTCTTTCATGATGAAACAGAGATGTGCTTTTTAGCACATTTATTTATTTAGCACAATTTTAGCACCAATTGCACATGAAAGGCAGTCTCTCTGAGTCTCTAGCCATCTGATTATACTCAGCTTACCTCTAAACATTCTGACATGTTTTTCCTAAAATATGAGACATAGGTCCGATATTCCCGTGCCTTGTCATCATAACCTCGGACCACAGTGCTCATACAGTACTTGCTATGAGCCAGGAGCTGGTAGAAGTGCTTTCCTTTAGTAACTCATAGAACCACACTATGAGGTAGGCACCATTAGCCTCCCCAGGAAGCTGAGGCACAGGAGAAGTGACTTGCTCATCATCAAATAGCTTATAAGGGACATCTAATTTTGAACCCAAGCAGTCTTTCACCGTAGGCTGTGCTCCCAGCCACGAGGTGACCTGCCTCCATACTAAATGCCCTGGCTTATCTATTCCATAAATATTCACTGTGAGTCTACAATGTGCCAGGAGCTATACTAGGCAGTGAAGGAGGTGAAGACCATGTGCTCCAGGCGCTAACGGGCTAACGGGGGAGAGAATAAGCAAGTGAGTCTACAAACCACATCACCAACTAGTTTCTCTTATTGGTTAAAATTCATCCTGGACAACATTCCTCTTGTTGCTTTGTCTTCTTTTGGAGAGGAATAGTAATAAGCAAGTCAAGTCGAGAATTCTAAAGTCAGTGTGAGGCCATGAAACTCCATAAGCTTTGGGGTCAGACAGCTATGCCCAGGTCCTCATCTTATGAGCTGCATGACGGAGGCACATCATTTATGTGAGCCACCATTCCCTCGCTGATAAAATAAGGAAAATAATCTCAATTGTGCAGGTGGTTGTGAGGGTTAGAGGTAATAGAAAGTGGTCCCACCAATGAGTTGGGTTCAGCAAGCAGTGTTACCCTGCAATGCCGAACACAGATGTCTAGGAGGTATCAGGAGACTTAATTTCCCATGTCATACTTAAAGGTCCCCAACAGCTTCTGTTTTCTCCATCCTGTATGACTGTTGGTCTGGCTGACATATGTGAATGAAGAAGTGGACTCAGAGGTTCCAAGAGTTCAGAGATTTGGATCCAGCTCTTCACTTACTGTACAACTCGAGGAGACCCACATCATAAGTCGGGGCTTCGGCTTCCAATGCCGTAAAATGGGGACTTCAGGCTAGTTCTGGGTTTTTTACATTAAGGATTGTACACCCTTAGGGGGTGTGCAATCAATTTAATGGGTTTGGACAAGTTTTTTTAAATTTTTATTTTAATGAAAGGAAGGAATGGAATGGAAAGGCTCATATTGTACTATCCACCCCTGGTCGGCAAACTGTGGCTAGCGAGCCACATGCGGCTCTTTGGCCTCTTGAGTGTGGCTCTTCCACAAAATACCACGTGCGGGCGCGCATGTACAGTGTGATTGAAACTTCGTGGCCCATGCGCAGAAGTCGGTATTTTGCGGAAAAGCCACACTCAAGGGGCCAAAGAGCCGCATGTGGCTCGTGAGCCGCAGTTTGCCGACCACTGAGTCCTAGACTAAGGGACGTATTCTTTCATGAACTTCTGTTTCAATTTTACAAACTATATTAATGTGTGTATTGGGTATTAAGTAAAACATTATTTCTTACTGTTGGACTAAGTAAAAAAGTTTTAAAAATACTAGTTTAGGTAATATTTAAGGCTCCAATCAGCTAAACTGGTTTGTATTTCTCATAACAGTATCACTTTTGTTCTGTCTGCTCTTCCCAAGAAAGGGTTACTATGTTGTCAAGAGGGAAGAACTAGTGAGAGCCAGGCATCAAAAGCTGTAGCTACCAACTTTGATGTCAAGAGTCCTTGCCGTGTACGGTGCATATTTCCAAAGAAATTCCTTTAGGAGTGTTTAAGGTTGTTGTGTTAATGAGTAAAATATTAACTTTACTCTTTGTTAAATACATAAGTCTTCCAAACCAATGGGAAGGGAAGACCGGAACTAAAGGAAAGGAAAACAGACTGCAAATAAAATAAAAAAAAAAAGGAGGGTGAGGAGCAAAACATAGAAAAGTGTGACAAATAAAGAACAAAATAAGTTGCTGGAAATGAGTCCAAATATACCGAACACCGAACTCAGATTTAATTGTGGTGTAGTGTTTTTTTTTGTTGTTAATATATTTTTATTGATTTCAGAGAAGAAGGGAGAGGGAGAGATAGAAACATCAATGAGAGAGAATCATTGATCAGCTGCCTCCCGCACGCCCCCTACTGGGGATCGAGCCCACAACCTCGGCATGTGCCCTTAACCAGAATCGATCCCAGGACCTTTCAGTCTTCAGGCCGACACTCTATCTATCCACTGAGCCAAACCAGCCAGGGCAATTGTGGTATAGTCTTTAAAAGCAGGTGAATCTGGCCCTGGCGGTTTGACTCAGTGGTCAGAGCGTTGGCCCACAGACTGAAGGGTCTTGGGTTCAATTAGGGTCAAGGGCAGGTACCTCAGTTGCAGGCTAGATCCCCAGCCTGGTAGGGGTGTGTGCAGGAGGCAACCAATTGATGTGTCTCTCTCATCAATGTTACTCTCTATCTCTTCCCCTCCCTTCTACTCTCTCTAAAAATCAGTGGAAAAAAATATCCTCAGGTGAGGATTAACCAAAAAAACATTTTTTCTTAAAGCAGGTGAATCTAAACAATATGATGTCTAACAGTGCATCCATATGTGGTAAAACCATGAGGAAAAAGCAAGATGATTAACACAAAATTTACAATCTGGTTACTTCTGCAGGAGACAGAGGGCCACTGGGATGGGGCACATTTGTTCTAGAGATAATGGTAATGTTCTATGAAATTGGGTGGCAAGTACACAGGTATTTAAACAATATTTTATTTAAACTGTAGCTATATCTTCTCTAATTTTGTTTGATATATTTCACACACACGTATACATATAAAAAAAGATAAAAGTAAACTGACAGTATGTTTTCCTAAAAACTGTTGTTCTAAATGGGATTAAAAAAAATCATAAAAGCTTTTTTCCCCTTCAGCATGAAACTCCAGTTGGGATTAGTCAGAGAACTGAAACGCTCTAAATAAATGTTCAGATCTATGCTCTGTTTGTTATATGTGGTAATTCATACAAATTTTCCCTTTGTGTTGAGTTACGTAATTCATTCAATCAACACCAGACAAACTTCATTGAGCAATGATTATATGCCAGGCACTGTTACAAGCATTTTATATAAATTAACCATTCAATCTTCATAGCAACCCTTGGAAATAGGTACTAATGCTATCCTCATTTTAAACCCGAGGAAATGGAAGCACAGAGAAGTGAGGTAATATGCTCAAAGCCACACAGCTGATCAGAGGAGGAGCCAGGATCCGAACCCAAGCACCTGGCACCAGAGCCTGTGCTCCAGTCCACAGTCTAGGCTGCCCAGCAGGGGGCCATGAGGATCTTATTACTAAAGTGAGTGATGGAAGAGGGGGGAGGGGAAGCCACTTCTGGCCTTTAAAGTCCCCTCATAGTGTGACATATCTGACTGTGAGGCTGCATATTTCACAAGTCATTCTCTGGTTTGCTAACAGAAAGACTTTCTGGTTATGGGAGGAAGGAGGGAGGAGGGGCAGGAGGGGCTTTATCTGGAAGGATGTCAGACGTCCGGTCAATCTGGCCTAATTAGCATATTACCCTTTTATTAGTATAGATTTTTTAAAATATGTTTTTATTGATTTTAGAGAGGAAGGGAGAGGGTGGGAGAGATAGAAACATCAGTGATGAGAGGGAACCATTGATCGGCTGCCTCCTACATGCCTCCTATGGGGGATCAAGCCTGCAACCCGGGCATGTGCCCCCGGCTGGAATCGAATCCAGGACCCTTCAGCCCTTCAGTCCACAGGCTGATGCTCTATCCACTGAGCCAAACCAGCCAGGGCTATTAGTATAGATTTTGAGAGAGAGAGGAAGAGAGAGAGAGAGAGATTTGTTGCTCCACTTATTTATGCATTCATGGTTGCTTCTTGTATGTGTCCTGACTGGAAAATGAACTCACAACCTTGGTGTGTCAGGATGATGCTCTAACCAACTGAGTCACCTGGCCAGCAGATGATGGGTCCTGGGAAATATATTTCAGTCAGTACCCCTCAATTTCCAATAAATTTTGGAAGAAAATGCTAATATATATATATATTTTTAGTAGACCCAATGCTCAGACCATGACAACTGGGAACAGTTTTCAAAGACAGCATGCCAGGCTCAAGCCACATGTTTTAAAAAAATCGGGCATCCTATCTAATAAAGAGGGAATATGCTAATTGACCCTCATGCCATTGCAAAGATGGAGGCGGCCACAGCCAATAAGGAGGGAATATGCTAATTGCCACAGCCTCGCACAAGATGGCCACCCCCATGTGGTCAAAATATGGCTGCCACAAGATGGCCAGCAGGGGAGGGCAGTTGGGGGTGATTGGGCCGGCAGGGGAGGGCAGTTGGGGGTGATCGGGCTGGCAGGGGAGTGGTTAGGGGGTGATCAGGCTGGCAGGCAGGTGAGCAGTTGGGAGCCAGCAGTCCCAGATTATGAGAGGGATCCCTGTGGGATCGGGCCTAAACTGGCAGTCGGACATCCCCTGAGGGGTCCCAGGTTGGAGAGGGTGCAGCCTGGGCTGAGGGACCCCCCCCCCGCTAGTGCACGAATTTTGTGCACCGGGCCTCTAGTTAACAAACAGGAGTGGAAATCAGGTATGTTTCTCTTGGAGAAGAAAAGGCTAAGGAAAGACGGGATGTATTGTTAACTGTCTCCAAAAACTAAAGGGCCATCACATAGAAAGTGGAAGTGCAGACTTGTCCTTGTCCAGAAGGTCACCTGAAAGAAATGGAACAGTACAAAGAGGCAGAATTTGGGTGTAAAACCTCTTTTAAGTAAATGAAGCTGTTTAGGAGAGAACTGGCAGCTCAGAGGCCAGACAGCCTCCCTGAGCAGGGTGCTTCCTTGCCTGGATTATCCTGAGATGTTCAAAGGGAAGCGATTTTTCCTAAATGAGAGGAAGGAAGTGGCTTCTGAACTCTTTTCCAGGTAGAAAATTGCTAAATTCTGTAAAACTATGAGTTTCCACTTCCCATAACATTCAAACATACGTGACTTGTTTCCCAAACTTATTATAAGACTGTATGGCTAACCACTGCTTAAGGTGAATTCTCTGAGCTGGCAGGTCTCAAACCTGGCTGGACATCAAAACTACGAGGGGAGCTTTTTAATCAGACCCAAAAGTCGTAAGTGCTGGGTGGTGCACAGAAATTTGTAGGACTCAAAAGTTCCCTGGGTGATTATGATGCATAAGCCAGTTTTATAAACCACTTCTCTATGCTGACCCAAAATGGTTTATTCAAACTAATCCTATCAGCAAAATATAGACTCTATAAACTCAGCAAAAAGTCATGGGAAAGAGAAAGGAGGCAGAATTCTTTAAAATAAAATAATTAAAAAACAACAACAAGCATCTCTTGAGATCAATACCTTCAGCTTCCATCTGGACAAATGTTTGAGCACATCATACACATAAATAAATGCACAAACACTAGCGGTGAAACCAGTCTACAGTCAAGGCATACACAGCCCTCCTCTGGCCTTTGCTGGTTCGCTGGTTCACCCTACCAGGATGCCTTCCCACCTCCTAATCTAAGATCTACTTTTCTTTCTAAGCTTAGCTCACATGCCGCCTTCTCCACCGGACCTCGCCCATCTGCCCAGCCCACAGTAACCATCACCTCCTTTCAACTCCTGCGCCACTTTCTACCTACAACATCCCTGTGGCACTGGGCATGCTATCAGCCTGATTCCCTCCAACACACTCCGAGAGCTCTGGGCCAGTGTGCATAGGGCATCCCATGTACCATCTTTTAAAACCCCCAGTCCAATGAGATGGTTACTCTTCTTATTATTCCCGTCTTCCATGTGATGGGTTGGGAGGTTAGGGTGGCTTAAGAGTTTGTCTTGGTCCAGAAGCCAACAAACAGAAGAGTCATAATTTGAACCCAGGCCTGACTCCCCAGACAACCTCTTGAACATTGGCTATGCTTGAGGTAGTTTAAAAATACATATGTCCTGTCCCTCATAGGCTAAGCTCCCTAAGCATGTAGGCTGTGCCTCATACCTGGCTGTATCTTTAGAACTAAGCCCGGAGCCCCACACTTGGAACAGTGAACATAACTGAGGTTTATTAGGTGCTCACATGGGGCCAGGTACTTCAGTAGCTGTAGCACCTGCTAATGCAAAGAGTGTAAGTCCTACCCAGGCACCGACAGGCACAGAACCTAGATGTGATGACTCTGACTACTGTCAAGGAAGGTCTCCGGGGAACTGACACTCAGCTGAGCTGAGTGCTGAATGTCAATGAGGACTGTGCAGAAGTGAGAAAAGGCATGATGCATTCGGGGAATTCTAGTTCAGGATGGTTTTAATCCAGGCAGGTAACTGAGGAAGTAAGATGACGTCTAAGAGATGAACCTAGGTTAGATTTGGAAGGACCCAGTGGGCAATAGTCAGGACTATAAATTTGTTGTATAGATCTGATCCTGTAAGCCTTTTTTTAAACCAGGAGTTTATCAAGAGAATTAAGCTTGAATGCCCTCAGGTACCCATTGTATGTAGTGGGTTAACCTCTCTCCCAAGGATCTAGAAGGGTCTGGTATGAGTCAGATACCATATTTGGGAGGATTAAGAAAATATTTCTAAGGTCCATGGTTCATAAAGGAATCCCACTGAAAAAGGCTAGATCAGAGATTTCTCAGGCTCAGTTGCAACTCACTAGTGGGTTGTGAAATCAAATTTGCAATTTTTGCAAAATTGCAACCAGCAATTTTTTAAAAAACAAAATAGAACAGAACAGAAAACATCACAGTACAAGTACAGTAAGGTACGTTTCATGAAACTTGTTTCAGTTACACACAAAAATATGTGTGTGTATTAAGCCATGATACAGAATATACATTATTTCTTATTGTGAGTACCAAGTTAAAAAAAAAAAGAGTTGGAAATCCACTTCTATAGATAAGTGGTTTTTCGAATCATTCTTTAAACAAGTAGAGGAATACTTCCCAAAGGAAATCTATTGTTAATACATTGTTTGTGGGTAGTTTTTATCGCGCGCTAACAGGTGGCGCGGGCCATTTTTGCTAATTTTTTGCGCAAATGGCAATGTTCAGTCAAATTACAATAACTTTAGTTTACATATTTATACGTTACCCGCATTCTACCACTAGTCTATAAAAAACGTATTAATACGTGTCCCGCTCTCTACTACACTGGTAGAACGTATAAATACGTAAAACGTATAAATACGTTTCCCGCATACAATGTGTTAAACTTCAAAATCAGAGCTGCTCTGACTAAAGAAAAAAAGGGGAGGGGGAGTTTGACTAAAGCTCTTTGTAGCAAAATTCAGTCTCATCTTCATACTATACTAGAGGCCCAGTGCATGAAATTCATGCAGGGGGGAGGGGGGCGGGATGTGTGTGTGTGTCCCTCAGCCCAGCCTGCACCCTCTCCAAACTGGAACCCCTAAAGGGATGTCCGACTGCCCGTTTAGGCCCAATCCCAGCAGGGATTGGGCCTAAACGGGCAGTCGGACATCCCTTTCACAATCCAGGACTGCTGGCTCTCAACCGCTCACCTGCCTGCCTGCCTGCCTGATTGCCCCTAACTGCTTCTGCCTGCCAGCCTGATCACCTCCTAACCACTCCCTTGCCAGCCTGGTTGCTCCTAACTGCCCTCCCCTGCAGGCCTGGTCACCCCCAACTGCCCTCCCCTGCTGGCCCAGTCACCCACAACTGCCCTCTCCTGCTGGCCCCATCACCCCTAACTGCCCTTCCTTGCCAGCCTGGTTGCCCCTAACTGCCCTCCCCTGTTGGCCTGGTCGCTCCCAACTGCCCTCCCCTGCAGGCCTGGTCACCCCTAACTGCCCTCCCCTGCAGGCCTGGTCACCCCTAACTGCCCTTCCTGCAGGCCTGGTCGCCCCCAACTGCCCTCCCCTGCTGGCCTAATCTCCCACAACTGCTCTCCCCTGCAGGCCATCTTGTGTGTTGGAGTGATGGTCAATTTGCATATTACTCTTTTATTAGATAGGATACCCCACCCCTACCCCCATACTCACACACACCTCTGAGGAACCCCTGGGAACCCCATGGAGCATAATTTGAAAATTGCTCCTATAGAATAGCAGTTCTTTGAAGATTGTTGATCAGGGGCATAGTGAAGTCTGATATCTCAGAGTGAAGCGTTGTCTGAGTGCTCAGGATGGACTGGAGGTAGGTGAAGCTCACAGCCTGTTCCCACCTGCATCAGAATCACCTGGGTGCCTGCTCAAAATTCAGATTTCTGGGCCCCACCCAGACCTACCAAATGAGGAACTGATGAAGGTATGACCTGGGCATCTCCAGTGTGTGTGTGTGTGTGTGTGTGTGTGTGTAATTGA